ACCGTCTTTGTCCTGGAAAGGTCTGTAGCCTACTTCCGAGGCTTGTGTTGGGTCCTTCTTCCTGAGACCCGAGTGAGCTTTGCTGTGGAAGTGCGGGGAAGGGAGTTCTGGCCAAGGAGGGTTGCGTGGTGTGTGGTGCGTTCAGGCCTTAGCCCGCAGCAGGGGCGGCCTGTGTTTGGCATGCAGACCGCTGCGGTGTGTACCAATACTCTTTCCTGCAGGCTCACACTGCAAATCGGCCTGTGCCTTGATCTCTGGGGTGACCACTGTGAGGCCTGTGCCCATGCTGGGGAGTGCAGGTAGGATCACAGTGGCCATGGGGGGCGGGCCCTGCTTCCGTGCTGTGACAGCAGACCCACTAGAAGCACCTCTGAGGGAGTGAGCAAACCATCACAGGCCCAGGCCCAGGCTTAGGCTCGGGGACTCCTAGGGGTTTAGATCTCTCAATGGTGAGCCGGGTGGTATCTTGGAGGTTGTTGCCCCACACTTACCCCAAGACCTGGTTCCCAGCATTCTTCTGTCTTTAGACACTATGTCCTCTGGATGAAGTTAGAAGCTATGAGGGACTGGTTTTAGCCTCGGAACTCTTTTAGAAATATTCCCAGCTGCGCTCCCCAGTTTTGGCCTGAATGTTTCAATTAGACCCTTCATTTGTTCTGGAATGGATCAAACCACCTGCCGTTGGTGGCCACACCCTTCTGTACAAGGGACTTGAGGGATTTGTAGGGGTCCTTCCTGGTCCTTGAGTAACTTCTGTATTTTAACTGTGACTAGTCCTGGTTCTCCCCTCACCCCCTGCTCCCCACTTTGTGGACTCACCTTTCCATTAGTGGCTTTCTGGATACAGAGGCTGCCATCTACACCCCTGCTGCTTAAGAGAGCACTTCCACGGATGACATGGTGTGGCCTACGATGGGCCCCTTTAGCAGTCTGCGTGGGTACATCCCAAAGGTCTGGGCTTCTTTGGTGAGCCAAGAACAGGACCAAGTAAAGTCAGCAGTCTCAGGCTGGGCTAGTCTGCAAGTTTCTGAAAATTTGGGGGGGGGTTCTTATTCAAAATGACAATGATTTCTTGCTGTTTGTGAGGGTGGTTGATTCTTTAGTTGTTGACAGTCCAGCAGGGACAGACCACATGACACCAGCCACAGCCATTATCACTGGTACATTGAGCAAGGCCCGAGAAAGAACATCAAGGAAGAACAACATTACTCAACACAAATGCTCTTGGATGTGTGTCACGCTAAAACATCTTCCCGGGAGAGTGTATTTGTGTAGGGATGTAGACACATATGAGGGTAGGTGTCTGTGTGGGACCAGAGACATCTGATCCTTTGGAGCCGGAGTTACGGATAGCTGAGAGTCACCCAGTCTGAGTGGTGGGATCCAACCTCAGGTCCTCTGCAAGGGCGGTGTGTGTCCTTAACCACTGAGCCACCTCTCCAGCTGCATCCCAAAACTAGAAGCTGCCCATGACTGTAACATGACTTTTAAAGCATGCGGCATGTACACTTCAGTATATGCATAGTCTGCCTAGGTGAAAGTTTAAAATAGGCCTAGGGAAACTAAGTGATGGGGGCACTGGGAAAACTGGTAATGTCACAGGATAGGGTAAGGGGAGCAAGAACTAAAAGATGAAGCTTACCTGTTGGGCATCTTGGTGGTTTCCCAAAAGGGTATCATTGCTTCTAGAGCATCCCCAGTGCTAATTCCTACAATGCTGTGGTCTCAAGTCTTCCCAGCAACCTTGTAGGGTAGGACTAACTTTACAAGGGGGAATTTACATGCATGTCACAGTATGGGCTGAGTGGACACCTTGGTCTTCCTACCGAACATGTCCTAGATTCCTGGGCTGGCAAATATTGGAGCCTCTGACCAAGTGGATCTCTTTGGCTAAGCTAGTCTGGAAGTTTCTGCAAAGCTGGGGTTTGTAACGCAAAATGCCATTCATTGGTTGCTTGCTACACATCAGGGTGGTTTGTGCAGTGGTGAGGCTTTAAGTTGGCCATTTGCAACTGCGGATTCTTTGACATTTTTTTAAATTGCCACTTGTTGAGTGGTGAACTAAATGAAGTAACCAATAGATACACAGCTTCCCACTGGGGTCTCTGTGGTCATTGGTCTCTCTGGGGATGGCTTTGTCTGGGGAGGTAGATGCAACAATTTCCTTGCTGATAGCTTCTCAATAGGTCTTGGTGGGGACTGGGGGTTCCCTCAGTCTTGTCCGACCTATTTCCTCTGGGGGCCCAGGGACTGGCCTGTTCTTTACTGTAATTTCCCTGGGAGGATCCAAAGTAGTGCATCTCACCCAGGGCTGTGCAGATTCTTCTGATAGGGTTTCCTCTGGGCTCTTAGACCCCACAGTTGGGTGGTAGTCTCCCTGCCCACAGGTGCCCACAGGACTTCAGTCTGCAGGTATCTTTCTGCCCTCCTTATCCCATGCAGCCTAACAGTCAGGCAGAGTGGGCGGGCAGTGGTCAAGCTTCACTCCCTCCCGTGTAGCTCCATTGGCATGTCATGAACCACCATTGGGAGCACAGAGACAGGGCTGGGTACCGGAACTCCAGGTGTTTACAGTGGTCAGGTCAGCGAGCGGCAGGCACACTGTACAGACGACCTCATAGACTCACAGGCTTGCTTCCTCGCTGAGCCACTGGCCAGCTCTGTGCCCTTGGTGAGGTCACTAAGCTTCTGAGCTGTGGCCTCATTTGTAGAATGGGGATGATGAATTGCATCACGAGGTCGCTGTGACCGTGGAGTGAGACAGTAGTTGCAAAGGCTGTGGCCGAGCCTGCAGCAATCCCAGCTGGCCCTGTCGTCACTGGAACTGCCATTAGCTTTAGCACTTTCCCCTGGCAGTTGGGTGCTAGCACTCCCTGAGGGCAGTCAGGGACCAGAGTCCTTCCTTTGCCATCCATCCGGTCTGACTTTGGACATGAGGAACAGCAAGAATGGGACCACTCCTTACCAAACTGGCTGTGTGCAGTGTGGCTGGGCCCAAGACAGTGACCATCAGCCACATGTGACCAGTTATTTAAATTATCAGAAACAGTTTCTCGGTCACAGTATTTCATGACAGGTGCTCAGGTGCCACTTGTGGCTGGTGCCCACCACCACAACAAGGCTAACAGGGCAAGGGTTAGCCTTTCCATCAAAGCCTGCAGTTGTACTGGGCCGGACTCTGCCCTTAGGCTTCAAGACTTCCCCTGCTGTCCTGAACTCGAGACAGGGAGGTGTTTCCTGCAGCAGAAGTTGAGTTCAGGAACACCGCCACATTCTATTTCGGTCATGCTCACCTGGCAGGGTGGCTGGTTTTCTGTCAGTCTTTATCAGCCTAAGGTAGGTGGGGAGGATTGGGATTGCCTCAACCAAAACTGTCGCCTTCTGTATCTGCCTTGCCTCGCTAGCCCATCCCTTCTGACAGAGAGTCCCAGGGTGATCTTCCCCGTTTCAGGAGGGTTGGGCTGGCCCAGTTATCCTGACCCTCTGGCCCTGTCCATGTCCCAATCTACCTGTCACTTTGCTGTGTCCCTGACTACTTGTTCTTTCCAGGCACCTTCTCCCTCTCTCCCCAGCCTTGGTTTCCATAATTCTCCAGAAAGCTTTCTCCTACCATTTCTGTGAGTTCCTTGTCTAGGCAGGGTCTCTCCTCAGACAGCTTTGGCACTTAGCCTACTCCTTCGTAGCCTTGTTTTTAAGTTCACTCTCTCTGTCTGCCAAATGGCAGTTGGCCTCATATTGCCAGTAGCACATCCAGGGCAGGGTGCTAATCTGATGGCGAATACCAGACTATAGCCCTGTTGGGCTCAGGGGAGAGGGACTGAGGGTCAGCCAGAGTGTTCTGTCCCGGCTCCATGATGCTGAAGCCAGGGATGGAGACAGCCCGACTGGGCCAGCTGGGAAAGGTCCTCAGGAGGAGATGGTGGGGTGAAAAGGGGTTGTGTTGGGTTTTGGCAGCTGGGGGTGGGGGCAGGGCGGTGGTGGTGGATTTTGTATTGGATTAGCCACACCAGGAAGAGAGTTGACATTTTGCAGAGGGTATGTCTGATTTTTGCCATTGGGCATTTTTTTTTCTCTCACTGCTGGATGGTCATCCCCAGAAATAGCCAGCACTAAATGATTCCCACGTTCCCAGCTGCAGAACAGTGAGTGCAGCGTTCAGCAGGGGTTCAGGAAATGGCTGCAGATGAATGAACAAACAGAGTGAGGGCCGGCACTAAGGGCTGATGGCAATGTCTCCCTGTCCTAGGGGCGGGCGAGCGTCAGGATCCCTGCTCCCCTTCACCTTGACAGGACAGTCTGAAACATGTCACAGTTCGGTAGGTCAGGCTGGAGAGGATGGTGGAAGGGCATGAGGAGAACGAGAGGAGTCCTCAGCTTATCCATATCCACTGCTTCCATATCCCACAAACCTGCTCCAAGGCTCCACTCTGAAGAAACCCCAGTACCTTTCCAAGTGGATGCTGCCAGTCATGCTGCCTGTTACAGGCTTTCTGTTTTGGTTGGCTGAGAGCTGTTTTCCCACAGCCTCCTGATGATGCCACATGACTGCTCCTAGGCCCCCAGCTCACTTGGCCTTCCCCCTGGGTTCCCCTCCCCCTGGCCCCCACACCCATACCTATCTCATAAGTATGGCAAACAGCTGGCATGGTGGTGGTCTCTGGGGCGCATTTCTGGTGATTATTAGATATTTGCAGTGCCATCTCTGTGACACACGCCAAGCCTGGTGTGACTGGTATGTGTCTTGTCACTGATATCCTTATGGCTCTGATCAGTCAGGCAGACTGGCACCAAAGCTACTTCCTCCGTGTGCTTAGCACAGTGTAAGCTCAGAGAAGCACGCAGGTGACGTGCCAACACCTAACTTGGCTTCACTAACTTTCTTTTCTCTCTCTCTCTCTCTCTCTCTCTCTCTCTCTCTCTCTCTCTCTCT